GCTCCAACTGGATGCTTAGGGGATGTTAGGAGGGAGCTAAAGATGCTAAAGAGTCCCGGAGCTATGAGATATACTCTCCCTCGAACTAACATGGAAGTGGAATTCTTGTGTCTTCCAATGGGCCAAGACTTCCACTTCCATTCTTGTTAGTTCCAGGGAGTGTATTCCAAATGAAAAAGACTAAGGGGTTCCTGTTCACCACTTGCTTCGTCCACCACTCAATTGCTCTCCTGATTCGTCCGTTCTCCACGTGAGCACCCCGTGCTCGAGGCTGGGAAGTGTCGGTCCCACATGGTCCAACTGTGGTCGTTTGGTTTCTGGGATCTGGTGATTGGGAGACCTGGCCCTCCGGTGCAAGTGATTCGACGCCCAGTGACCAAAGAGCCTTTAACAAACTGTTGAACTGACGAGAAAGACACCTTCAAAGTGCAAGGTCCTCTGCGGCCCTCGTGGCGCTCGTGAGGCGGACGCTGCGGCCCAAACGCGAAGTTCTCGCATGATGGGGCGAAACCGGACGAGCGCCTTTCAGCAGACCAAGCCCAATTCTGGAAGCCAGTTGGACTTGACGAATGCTCCCTTGCAGGAGGCGCGAACTGAACTGACAAATCTGACAACGGTAGTACTAACGGTAGTATTGTAGAGGAAAGCCGCGCCCCAGTGCATGCTAGCTGTTAGCTTCAGAGTGTTGTCGGGAATTAGCGACCGTTTTCCGTCGATTGGTAGTTAGATCGAATAGATCGGGATCGGGGTTGTTCTTGCTTCGCCATACTCCGCGGTTGACCGACTTGGTCCGAGCGACCGGCTCCACGGGCGCGGATCGGTTGAGGCCCAGCTGTGAGGGTTTTGGCAGCTAGTTCTTTCCAACCGGCCAGTCTCGAAGTTTGACCCTCGTTTGGTTAGATACTAAGTAATTGTTTGTTTTCAGTGCAGCTTGTATAGACTTGACTGACCCCTGCCCCCGGAAACAGAGGCAGCTGCGCGAATCTCTCGGTTGGCACCGAACTTGGGTACCGGTACAAATATAATCAAATATCTTATTAAATATATACCGGACCCTTCATGTCGGGGTTCTCAAGATCCACAAGTAGTGTAGGGTCTATTGGAGACCCCGTTTTGAGGTGCCGGTATCTCAGTTTACCGTTTTTGTAGCACCAAGTCATGATGTGTTCGGAACCAAGTCATGATCGTCAGGGTGACTCATGTAGGCCCCAACAGTGCCCAGATCACGCGCGCGCCCTCAGGTGACCATCAGCAACGGCCTGAGTCGCCGACGCTTGGGGACAGAAGGTCCGAAAGGGTGGCTGAGGAAGGGGAGCTGAGCAGAACACGGCAACAAGTCTGACTAAATGGGCCACAGAACAGGATTTCCAGCGTTTCAAAGGCTGATTTCACCACCTTCTCCACCGTGCGGTGCCCTGTCTGGATGCCTAATTAGGCCGGTAGTGTGGAAGATCGTCCAGCCAGGACACCCCTGTCGGGTCGGGTCGGGTCCAGGCAGAGACCACCTCTGTTTGAAAGACCTGTCGACAACCAGCGGTTCCAGAGACCCCGCCGCGTCGTCCGATTGTCTCGTCCGAGCTGGGAGAGGGTATCCGTATCTCGGTCGTCGCGACGGATCTCGAGACTCCCGAGGAGGTCGAATGGAAGAGGGAACAAAAAACCCGAAGAACCCCCGTGTTTTACGGAATTGAGACACCAATTAGGGGGTTGCATTTTGTTATTCGTTTTAATTTTAATTTACATTTGATTTTACATATGTTATTCATACGACATAGGGAGTGACTGCAGGTTTTTAGAGCGGCTCATCTGTTTTCAGAGAGTTCCCCGGTTTTTTTTGGGTCTTTTCCGATGTCGACTGGGCTCGCCTTTGGGACAGATGTCGTCCCCCGTCGACGGGCCCGTGCAGCGAGCAGCCCCAGATGCTCCGTTCACAGTCAAAACCTATAGGAGAGTGGTTCGGGTCTGGACCTCTCCAGAGGATTCGTGTACGGCCCCGGGCCCCTACTGAATTAGGAGGGTTCAGACGTAGCATCTGGGTGAATCTTTGAGAAAGGGCTGTGTTTCACAGAATCCCCTGGAGAATCTTGAACCTCTAGATACCACAAACGAGGTGTGCCATTCATGAACGATGTGTGCCATCAATGATCAGCACGTGTTTCCTCTCTCTCCCCCGACCGGTAGGGTTTCCAAAGGGAAGTCGAATCCCTGGAGAATCGAATCCAGAGATCAGACTGCTGTGAGTCTGACTATGATTGAGAGCCGTTCCAAGGAACTTTGCACCTCCTTTGGCATTTGGCGAAAGTGCCTGATGTGCCGAAGTTCGATGGTGAAACGCCCTCTGACCTGAGTCTTCAGAGAAGCGCATGAGAAGCGCAGGATGCCGAAACATCGATGTTTGGGAGGCATCGAACATCATCGAGCATCGAGCAACCGTGTAGGGAGACTCACACCAATGCCTCCTTTGGGATAGGATAGAATCAAGTCTCAAAATGAGGAGCCGAATTGGTACACGATACAACTTTAATCAACTTGTATAAATATCAAACACCATATTTCATCATATTTCAACGTTGGACCATGTTTGGGATGATGCCATTGTTATAGTCAGATGACATAGATCACCACATGTACCTGACCATAGAGGCACACTTGATCTAATCCCCCCCGCTTGTGCTTTTGAAGAACATTTGCCCGTCAATACAGGGTAGCCTACACTGCGATGGCCATTTCAAGAATACAACTGCGCACCTCTATTACAAAGTGGTCTACACTGCTTCAACATAGATGACCAGCACAAGGATATATGTTGGTCTCATGTTCCATTCTATTTGTTGCCTTTTTTGATCTTTTTTGTGGGTTGATCGGTTTTCGATCCAAAACCTTGTTTTCGGTCATGCATCCAAAGCCTGGCTCAGGTTGTTGCAGAGCTACTTGGAATGCCGTTTCTTGGGTCTGAGCAATGTGGAAGCGTTGACCACACTCGGAGGCAGCTCTCCTTTACAGCTCATCCAAGCAGCCGAGCTTTGGAGCGAAGGTCCGGGGAAGGCGAAGGCAACGGATCGGACGCACCTCCGTGCCTTAGAAGGCACCCCTTGGCTAAGGACCGGACGGCCCAGGTTTGGATCCGAAGATGTTGAGCTTTGACCTGATGACCTGGGTTTCCCGAGTGTGTCCCAGAAACTGATGCTGGATGGAACTCGCCAATCAAAACCACTTGTTATTTAAAGGATCTCAATTTCCATATTGGAACGACCAGAACTGTTTCTGGTTGGGACTGGGCTTCCAGGATATGATGCTTCCTGCGCCAGCAAGAGGATCCTCACAGATACCAATTGGTGGCGAGCTTCGATTTGTTTTCCCAAATTCTTGTGTCTTTCCATATCCCGAAGAGAAGGCATTGGTTCACAACCAAAAGGCAACCGGTTTAAGACGTGGCTAGTTCTTGAAACCTTAATTACCCAAATAGGTGGAGACTATGGTTCCTACTTCTCTTAGAACCAGGAGATGTCATGGCATTTTGGAGTGCTTCAAACAGCTCAACTTTTCGCACACACGAGGGTGAGGCAAGTTGCAAAGCGGATCCGGACATAGGCCCAGGCCGGCCCAGGGGGACCAGGACTCCCCGGACCGTGATGACTCGTGGACCGCGCGCCCGCGGTGGTGGGCGTGGCTTCCATGTTTCGTTCGTTGAAGTGGGTCACTCACGGACGCCAGGCGATCCGGAGGTCTCTGAAGATCGAGTTGACATTGAATCGGGAACATTGGTTCTACCGGTATTGGTTCGGTGTAATGTTTCAGGTGTGTTCAACTGCCACACCCGGTGGTGAGGTTTGATCAGTTTGATCAACATGAACATGTAGAGCTTCGGCCGCTCAGAGCTTTTCATCAAAAGACCTGCTGATAAGTGCCATGTGGGCCACGTCTCTTGACTCTTGTTTGGCATGACAGAAACTACTGTAGAACCTTTGCAAGAAACAAGGAGCTGCATCGCTTGCAAAACCTTGAAGCAACTCCCCAGAATCTCCTATCTTGTGACGCTTGTAGAGTATTTCATTGTATTGAAAATCCACAGCTCCTCGTTCTTTTCTCATCTTCCTCCGACCACGAATGACGAACCCAGTTCGCACGGGAACCTGGGCGGCTTTTGCGCTGTCCGACGAGCGGCTGGTTGGAAATATGAGACTGGTGGATGTGATTTTTAGACTTAATCTTATCTACCAGGATCACCCTGTCTGGGTGTCCTGTCTAGAGGTCCATAAGTAGTGTAGGGTATTCTATTAGACCATTGGATGGCCCGGGTAGGTGAAGAAGAGGAAGTCTAGACCATCCAAGCGACCGAGCGAAGAAACGAAGAACCGAAGCTCTCAGGAAGATGCGATGGCTTTGCTTCCGCCCGATGACCAAGCGCATTTGGTGCTGACAGAGCTGAGCAAGCGCTGGCGATTGGAAGAATTCGGATTCCTACCGGAGCCCCTGAAGCATGCCTACCTCTGAAGCTGCGAATTCAGATCCATCTTCTCTTTGCATCTGCCGCGGCGGAGTGCAATCAGAGACAGATTCATTTTTGGGGCCAAGGAAGCGGGAGCGTTTTGGGGCGCTAAATGCGCTCATGTCCCTTCTGAGGTGCTTTTTCAAAAAAGAAGATATTCAGATTAATATATGGCTGTGTCTCAAAGGAGCACAGGGGAAGGCATTCCAACAATGCCGGGACTTTTTTTTGGCAAAGCAGATGACCAGTTTCTTGATGTTGTGGCCGAACCCCTCCTTCCCGTTTTGAGACACCTCTTGTACAGACGCCGTTGAGAATGACGTGTCTCAGACTTGTACACAAACGAAGGCATTTCCTCCAGCAGGCCTGTTTGCCGGGTGGAGGAGAGGCGCAGCATGGCTCAGCCATCTCAGATGGCCAATGATGTGGAAGCGGTGAAGCAAGCTTGCGGAACAGCTTGGGGAGTCAAAGTGTAGCAGCTTCATCAGCCTCAAAGAGGGGGACCAAGATTTTGGGAGGCTTGCTTGAACATTCTTGTACCCCTTCGAATGGGTACCCCTTCGGTACATCCATCTCGTTCCCCTAGTCCGACATCCATCTCTGTGTCCGTCCGGCTTGGTAGGGTCTGGATTGGTGATTTGCTTGCCACATATGGCAGGTGGAATACTCACCAAAGTGGCTGCGCGAACGTGACGCTGCAAAGGCGAACTGGGAGACTCTCGCACGACGGACTGGGAGACCCTCCGGCTTCTGCTAGAGGGTTGGCGAGGCAAAATGTGGGGGACAGACCGGGTACCCACCCATCACAGAAGTCCATGAAGTTTTATCATCTTCCAGGTTCTTTTGATCGATTGTCAGATGTTGGATCTGCAGGCCAAGGAACAGCTGGACACAGATGGCAAGCGCAGATCTCAGCGAGAAACACAGCACATCTCAGGCCAATCTATTGGTGGTGTAATGAAACAGGTCAGGTATGCCAGAGAAGAAGGCCCGTAAAAATGATGCCATCTTCCAAACAGCTTGGCTCCTCCTTTCCCACCAAGGAATCCCTGATGCCATTTGATGCCATCTGATGCCTTTCCCGTGGTATTTTCAGCCCTTGTCATCGCAATGGGTTGAGACTGGATTCTGAGCAGTTCTAAAGTATCTTAGTCTCACAGGTCAACCTGCCAATTAATCGGTTGGCAATTCGAAGGCCATTCGAAGGCGCAGCTTCGAAGAAAAAAAGGTGCTTTGCAAGGTCAACATCCAAAAAGATCCTGTTTGCAACGTACTTGGATTAGTTGAAGCCGTATCTCAACCTGTGAACATGCAGAGGTTGCAGAACCCAACTCTAGGAAAGTCGTAGCTGTTCCCAGAAACGCACATGAAACGCACATGATTTGCTTTAATTTTATACATTTTAAGCTCAGCATACTGTGAATGATTCGTTTCGCACGCAGTCGGCATGCGTTCTCAACCATGGCATGCTTCGGCCTGGCAGTCGGCCACGAAGCAGAAGAAAAAGGAGGAAGCGACTGATGACGCGCTTGCCTGGACGCTGAGGTCTTGGCATTGTTTGGAGTCTTCCTTTGAGGTTGGAAGGGATCGACGATGAACAACATGCCCTCGCTGCAGAAATGAGATCTGAAAATAACCGTGGTTTGCTTTCCTCTTGATTTGAGATCTCGGTGAGGATTTCATTCTGGTTTTCGCTAGTTGAAACATGTTCAGGATGGTCCATCCTCCCTGACTTCCCACAAGACTTCCGCGACTTCGCTCACGTGGTTTTGGTCGGTTTGGTCGTAGCTCAAACTGGAAAGACGAGGATCCCTGTTTTGTCCCCCGTCCACCGAGGTGTTGGGGACCGTTCCAGTTCTGGTCGACCTTCGTCTTCCCATCGGGCCGACCAGGTCGATCGACCATCGGTCCGATCCGGATCCGTTCGAGATCCCGTAGGCCAGTGCTGCGAGATGCGGTGAGTCTCACAGGAGGTGGCGGTTTTCGTCCAAGCCGACCGTTCGTTCGAACGGTGTTCGTCTGACCGGGAGGAGGCGAACGGGAGGAAGAGGCAGGAGGTGAAGGGATGGTGAAAGGCGGTAAGGAGGACACGACTGCATGGGACTGGCGTAGGACTACAGCACCAGGGTGGTAGATTCAATGACGGTCTAATCTACCAGCACCCTCCAACAGGCTGTTAGTTGAGGGTTGTTAGTTGAGGGTTGTAACAGGTCTCAATTGGTGACCTGTCGGAGGGTGCTGGTATGTGTAAATAAGCTCTATGAAACCATGGGTGTTATGATATCCCATAAAATGGTTTATGGGCTCACCGTGATTTTATAGAGCATGTATGTGTGATTGACTCAAAAACATGAGCATCAACCAGGCTTTTAGATGTTGCTGCTGAGGTAGGGTCCTTGATTTTATATACCCCTGAGTGTCAGGGACACCGTTTTATATCCATAACACCATGGTCAGGACCCCCCCAGGGAATTTACACAGAGATCATATTTATATATATATACACACCATACATGGACATGGAGTGTTGGGAATAATTCCAATATAGCAGCACCACCCAGTTCGGGTGGTTCTTAGAAAAACCTCGTCATAGCCAAGGATCTCATATAGGATATCGAATCATATTCGTCCTTTGCTACTGCAAAAATGGCTGCCATGTCTGGAGGACATGAAACCACGCTCTGACTATAAAGACGTTCAAGACATGACTGCTCATGACTGACTGCTCATGCTCTGACTGTTCTCCGCTCCCCAGGAACCGCGCACTCGCCGGTGGCCCCGGGGTCCGCTCGAACCGGTTGGTCACGGTTTCTGGATGAGTCACCGAATTGTGACACACCAACGACCAAGTAACAAACTGGTGGATAGCTGCACTGCTTTGGAAAGTGACATTTGGAAACTTGAGTTGTTCTTTGTTCTTTAGGGCTGGAACTATATAGATATTTTCAAGGTATGTTGCTTGACGGACTTTGCCAAGGGTTGCAACATATGCTTGGCCGTGAGATTGAATTCAATTAACGAGACGAGAATGTAGAAAACATGCCCCTCAGCATTTGCCCACCGGAAATACCTGCAGGATGGCCTCCACTAACCAGGGGACTGACCTGAATTACCAAAAAACATTGTATCATCCATGAGCTATTAGTCTTGCTACTAGTAGCGATGGCCTCCACCGGTCGTAGCTTCTTGCTGGAACTCGTGCCAGGAGCTAGGTTCGTAGCTTCTTGTTCCTCCCTCCAACCACGGTTCCGTGGGGCTTTGCATTGGCCTGTCCGACCGGCCCCCCCAAAAGCACCAGAACTTGCCAGTCCCAGTCCATCCAATCGTGGGATCTCAGCCAAGCCACGGAAGAACCAGAGCTGTTTCTGCTTGGGACTGGGGAAACACCCAGGTGGGCGTGTTGTTGGGGGAGGTCGCTTCGCGCTGAGAGACGTGCCACACTACGTGTCACGTTGAGGCCAATGATCCAGGCAGCCGTCAATGTCAGGGACCGAGGGACCGAGGGACCATGCCACGAGTGTGGCGATGGCAAAGCAGGTTAGACCTGGGATGGGAACACACGGATGATCTGCAAAGCAGGTCTCCAACATGTATTAATGCATTTTCTGTTGTCTGCATGATTCAAACGTCTATATATATATATATTAGATATAGACGTGACTTTCTTCAAATCGTTGTTCCTGGACTCCCAGGATTATCATGGATTATCCATTCAATTTTTTTAAGGTGCAACAAGCCACCGATAGAAGCAAAGAACGCACTCGTGGTCAAAATTCAGGTCGTTTTTGAGGCCCACTAGGCTTTGCTGTGATGGGATGATTCTGTGACCCAGACATGATATAATTAGTTCAGGATTTCGAGACAAAGCTGATTGAACATATTTGTTTTGAACGAGCCCGCCGGAGCTGAGGATATAGACATGGATTCCAAAGGTATTCTGTGGGTACAGGCGAGAGCACAGCAATGGAGTCTGGAGTTGTACAGGGATGAAGAAATGAAGATGTAGTCTTCGACTTCTAATAGTCTAACTTTGTGTGCAAGGTTTGTCCTGTGAGGTATACAAACAGCATGTCCCAGATTTTTTGAGATGTTATTGTTCGTAGCCATTCTCAACTCCAGCTTCGCCCGCTTTGGCAGAACACCAGCGAGTTCATCATTGGCGTCGTCTTAGTGATCCTTGCAGCCGGGACCCCGGTGTCTATTGGCAAAGCTCCCCGATTGGCACCTACATGTCTCAGTGTCTCCTTCCTCACCGTACCTGAGAAGGTACGACTGGGATTCTTAGGGCTCAGAGCTTTTGGTAACCATGGTCAGTCACCGGACGAACGGGTTGGACACGACCCTATAAGCAAAAAACCGACTGACTTGACCCATTGTCGGTACGAACTCACAGGTCGACTCCAGGTACATGGGTTTGTAGCTCGATTGGTAGACGCTCCCACTCAAAAATGCAGGTCTTCGAGGTTCCCGACCCTTTGAAGATCTCAATTTCACAATCCAAACGAGTCAAATGAGTAATTGTTTTAAAATGCGACTCATTTTGTACAGAAACTCATTTTGTACAGCATGTAAACGTCATGTCGTGTGACACACGTTCTGCCCCATGTCTTCACACCTTAAGGTGGTCCTTTTGGTGAACCGTAGTGACTGTGCTCGAAGCAGCGTGGTTCCGAGTTGTGCGCCAGCTGGTTCTTTGAGCGGCAACTGGTCATGACCTTAAGACACCAAGCAGGTTTGTGCAGTGATTGGAAGCCTTGTGTTCTTGATTTTTCTTGTGGCCTTGGTCATTGTTTTGAATGCAAGATCAAGAAATTAGGTCATGGGAACACATGGGGTTTCTGCAAGGCACGCTTGGAGTGCCTGGTCTCCATAGGCACGGTGTTCCGTTTTCCGATATAGCAAGACTGCCCACATATCATGTAACACTTACTGGATGGGTTTCCATGAGCCTAGAGTCGGCCAAAGTACCTCAGAACATGGGTCAGTCGTCAGTCGTGTTTGTTGTGTGCCTCGGGAAACAATCATGTCCCATTGTCTAGGGTACGAACGACATCGGGTCCAGGTGATGATGGCAAGGATGCGGAGAATGTCACAGTGTCCCCCCGAACAATCCATGGGAGTGGATTTGCCTACATTGACCCCTAAAGCATCTTAAAGATCCCCAACTGATCGGCAAATATTACTAGTATACCAGGAGTCACCTGGCCGTGCCGAACAACGGAGGGAAGTCGGGGTTGCTCACATCACATCCACGGCTGGATGGGACGAAGATGCCCCCGGGCCTCCATGTGACTCCTGGTATACTGTAATATGGGAGTTCAACCTTAGGAGTCACATGGAGTCACATGGTAAGTCACAGTCATGGTAAGTCACATCGATTCGAATGGGAATTCAACCTTCGACCGACCTCACAGGACGCAGCAGCTGTGTGAGCGTCACGGACGGAGAGGCACCCGAGAGCACGGATGGGGAGACCCGCAGCAGGACTCCGCAGGGGAACGGAGACGACAGGGGATGCGTAGTGACAGGCTGGTCCTGCCCCCATCAGAGGACTGCCAAGTAGGGCAAAGTAGGGCAAGCACGCATTATGGTTTAACATGCTTCTGTAGATCTCCGCTGGCCAATTGTGGGACATGATGTCTGTTACTTTCAGGCGCTCTTGGTCGTTGTCCAAACCTCGCTTTCACCCGCGCGAACCAAACACACCTATAACATAGTATCCTACTGATAGTGGCCACACCTGATAGTGGCCACATACTGCCACCTGATGCCACGGGTTTAAGCCCACCACCGGCTGGGCTGGCTTCGCTCTGGCTGCCTCCAGTTCTTCCCCCCCCACCCCCCCCCCCGGGCTGCGCCGCACCGGCGTTGGCCGAAAACTACGGCCAGCTGGTGCACCTGAGTGGCCAGGCACTTCGACCGGAGACACCCATCCAGGAGACGTCACATCACGGGACGGAGCAACGGCATCGGTGGACAGCCACACCATCCGGAGCTGGAAGAGTGACCCACATTGGGTAGGCTTCTTGATTCATGCGGTAAATACCAGGACTGTTTCTTCTTGCCAGGTCTCCGGCTGAAATGCAGCTGATTCAGAGTCGCAGGTGACCTGTGAAGTCAGGTGCTGGTGGTAAATGTATGTGACTCTCCCAGTCCCATGGTCTGGGTTTGGAGGACGCTCTCTGTGTGTGCCACCGGTCTCACCGGGGCCCGCCCGTTTTGGTCTGAGGCGAAGAACCGAGCCTTGGGCTCCTGTGGGTGCCAGGAATGGTTTGGAGGGCTTATATACTTGGATCCCTATAGGGAGGGTCAAGGAGCGTCAACCCATGTGCTCCGGAGCGGAAACTCGGCGAAGCTCGAAGGAAGCTCGCTTCGCTCGCCTTCTTCGTGTCTACGTCTCAAAGAATCCTCCCAAAACGGACTCGACATCTTTGCATTCTGGACCTTCCTGAAAAGACCGTTCCGTTTAGACCAGGACCTTCCAACAGCTGGTTATTGGACCCTCACAGGTGGTTTCCACACCTTTTGTCAGGAAACACCTCGACTGGGAGGGTCAATTTCGTGGGCCACTCGCTCTAAATCGCTGCAGGATCCGAGATTCATCTGCAGCCAGCTGGGCAACACCTGCACGCGGCTGCGCACGCAGGTTCAGGCGAGACGGACCGAAGTCTTTGGGGAACAGGCCTCACACGATCCCATGGTGCTGGAAGCGGCTGGAATGGCCGAGAAACGGCCAGGGTTGAGAGTTGAGACACCCAGCCAGGGTCCAGGACCGTTGCTCGGATGTCCTTTCACCTCCAAGAGACCATCCGATTCGGACGGTTCTGGACCCTTAGGGATAAGATGCTTTGAGGATCAATGTAGGTGAAATATTCGTGGATTGTTTGGGAGGTGTATCAGAGATCAAATTGTCGGTTTACTAGTAATAGGACTTTAACAAGTATAATACACTTGCTGGCACCAAAGGCACTCTTTTTGGCGACCCTACGAACTTTGACTACTTTCTTTTGGTGAAGACATTTATACTGCGTTTGTTGATCAGATTTGATCAGAAACAACACTCCTATAGTCTCTGAGGTGATATGCCTCTTTCACGTGTTTTTTTTTTCTGTTTCGCATGCCTTTTTGGACATGTCGGACGGCTTTGGGGTTTCACCGTGCCTTTCCTGCGCCGAACTTTGAGGCGTTTCAGAGCGAGGGAGGTGCAGAGCTGAGGAACGAGGAACGGGTGCCGAAGCTGTGAAGTGCCCAAACTGCAGTAAAATGACTAACCCAGACGCTCCTGGACCCTCATATGCAGGGGTCGGACCCTGATATGGAGGGGTCTGGACCCTCAAATCCCTATGGTTTTGAGGGACCAACGGCTGTTTGGAGCGTCTGGGAAGCACACCTAAAAACCATTCCCGACATGGAACTGCTGGTAGAGGATTGGTTGGGTCAATGGTCAATGTCACACTTTCAAGGGTATGTTGGCTGAGCAGCTGAAGCTGCTTCCTGGGCATCGAACTCAAAACGTGGACTTTGTCAGACCATACGACACTCCTCGACATGAACCTCTCTTGGCAGACCTGCCTTAAAAAAATAGAGAGACATTGGTATCGTCACGTCATACCATTGTTGGACAGGGGAATTCACATGGATTCGCTCTTCTATCTCTTTGCGGCACGGCCAATACTCGTACTCGTACATACTCTCTTTGGTACGCCAGACGTATGCACCGTATGCAACATATCATAGACGGCCTTTTACATCCTTTTACTATAGGTTGGTTGGTTGGTTCGTTCGTTCATTCGTTCGTTGGTTACTACAGGGCATCACCTCAAGTGAGCAAAAGAAGGGAAAGGGTACCTAGCATCGACCCTCTACAATTCTCAAGTACGGACATAATTCCCTAGCCATTAATAATGCTTGACCTGGTGGTCCAGTGTGTAACAAATCCTCAGTAAAACCATGATTCTTTGGCAAAGACCCTTAAAATTATGGTTGTTCGAATCCTAGCGCATTGGTAGGCAAGACATCTTTGGGTGTTCGTGCTGAGGTCCAAGGTGGTCCGAGGACGGAAGATTCCGCCCTGTCGACTGGAAGAGATGCAGTGACAGGAAGACCCTGCGGACTTCCACCCGCAATGCATGTGGCAGATCTTCAGTTCGACCATTCAAAGGTTGGCCGGTTGACCTGGTCTCATCTCGTCTTCTGTAAAAAGCATGTAAAAACTGCTGGTTGTTTGGTAAAGACATGAACACGGTTGTTGGATGACAGTTGTTGGATGACCATTTTAAGTCTATAGAATTGGGGACCATGAGGTACCGGCTTAATTCCAAAGAGGATATTGTTGAGATTTTAGGGTAACTATGCCATACTATGCATTACTTTGCCCGTCCCATTTTTGAGTCTCTACGGTCGTCGGCTTTGCCGTCTCATGCGGCGAGTTCTCGCGTTCGTCCGCGACGAACGTGAACACAGTCCGTGTCCATGGACGTCCTATTCAACCAGTGGAGCTGGGGTTGTAGTGTAAAATCCTTTGTAAAACAGGTTGGTGGTTCAGGATTCAAACCATTGAAGTAATGGTGGGCCAGTTATGGCCTTTTGAGAGATGAGAAATGACCACAGGAATGACCAAATTCTCACCTCATCCACAGTCAGAGGGTGGGGTTCTGTGACCGGTCTGCGCAGCCGAAGCGCATCAGCAAGTCGCGGCCCTGCTATCGCTGCAGATATCACAGCCCTGCAGGAATATCATCTCAGTAGGTCTCTACATGAGTAAGTAGAACTTCACAAATTCACTCGATGTGGTTTTTAGATGCACTGGAGGTTCTTGACTGGAAATAGTTTGGTGTGTTCCAAAAAAGGAGCGTTTCTCCTGGTCTTCCACTTCAGCATGCTTTCATGGTCTTGGGTTCAGTGTTGCCTCTTCAGTTTCCGACGAACACATCCAGCTTTGCAGGACACGTCGGTGCGGAGACATCCAGCTTTGCCCGCGGGGCGCCCCTAAAGGACTCGGGGGAGACTTGATCAGGGCTTTGTGTGTTTGTTCCTCCAGCAAGAATCCTGAAGGAATCATATCGGATCGTGTGTTCACCTACTTGATTAGACTCCTGGGTTAGACTCAAGCACCGTTGATGAAAGGAAAGGGTGTGAATCACCTAAGCAGCCCTTGTTCTATACTTGCATGATCTTGCATGTTTTCATTTGATTTTTGGACTGCACGAACCAGGTCAAGCCGGTCCAAGCTTCTTGCATCTGGTCGAACGAAAGGCTAAGGTGGAACTCCGCCCTTCTGGTAGGAAGACCTCGTGCCTCTGAATTCGGAATTTTCATTACTTCACCCATCTTCACCCCAATCACCGAGCCAAGTCGCACGAGCTGAGTCCCCCGCAGACTCTTTGTTCGAGTCGTTCAGAGTCTGTCTGTCTCTCTCTCTCGCTCTGCGATCTGGCTTTTTGTTGATGCAGATCGAATTGGGGGCTGGTGCTGGATGCGTTGTGCTTGTCTCTTACGAGTCGGCTCAAGCGAGTCACCCTTTAAGGGCTGAGGACACACCTGGGACTGGTGTCCGACTCCAACTTCGTTCCAGTGGTCCGATCTCCAACTTCGCCTGAGGTTGGCACGACCGTCACCAACACCAGCTCTGTGACTTGTCTTCTTCATCTCGGGATGGTCAAGGTGGAGAGGAGAGGCATACCAAAGCTATATGTATACAGAGATCATTCATGGGCACACCACTCCCAGAGGTCCATCCGAACCACACCCGAGTGTCAATCCGTGGGGCCCGGGTGGATGGCATGGCGTTCTTGAAACGAAGACCAGGTTCCGAAGGCCAAACAGGTGGATGGACCTCCACGAAAACCATGGCGTTTTTCGTGGCGCGAAGTGGAGTCCACCTGCGACTCGGACAAAAGACCGCCGACATGGGACTCAGTGGCCGAGTCAGTGTGACTTGGGCCATGGATCCCTAGAGGTCCACGGTGGCGAAGCTGAGTTATATGGTAAACGCCAGGGTTGGGTCCAGTCGTAGCGAACCTGAGAAAGGTGATGAAACTTCTATCACCATCTACAGAATGCCTGAGGGGATCTACACATCCATGGATAACTGAAGTGGAGACCTGGATGGATCACAGGATGGATGATGACGGATGTGATAGGATCCACAGAAGCGTCAGAGAGGTGCTCCTCGCCTCCTCGCCTCATCTGATCTCCACCGATCGCCGCCGGGAAGCACGTCTCGATTGGATGGTCAATGCCGAGGGCAGCAAGACATAGCAAGACTCGGAGAGAGGTCGATCATTCAGGTGATCGTGGTTTTGTGCCAGAGTTTAGTCCCATCCAGTGAGTGGATGTGACAGTCACGGGCACCTCACCTTCGGCACCCTCCGTGTATCCCTTCGCAGCCCGACATGACACTCCTGGCAGGACCTGTCCACCTGTTTTCGTATGTAAAACATCTTCAGACGCTTCAAGACATCTTCAAGACTGACCCAAAGGCCCAGACGCACCGGAGAAACCGGTGAGAGGATATCAGACCCACGAGACTCAGTCCGACATCACGATGCCCTTTGTTGCTCTCCGCAGCCCTTTGTTGCTCTCCGCCGTAGGTGTTTCCGAAAGGGTCTGAAGAGGGTCCAGCTTTTTTTTTTTTGAGACCTAGCCGACCCTTAGTAGATGATTGACCAACACGCTATAGCATGCTATAGATCTTCCAACTATAATTACAACACGTCTGCCTACATATGTTAGTTTGTTTTATACATGAACAGGCAGACATTTTGCATAGTTGGACATTGATTAATATATACAGACGTGCCTCCTCTCCTGGTGCCACCCGAACGTGTTGTTTGTTGCGGGTTTCCTAGGAAAGGATTACACAACTTCTGTTTTTTCCTGCTCTTTTGCTTGTGTCTTCTTCTGAGGGGTGCTTGACATGTCTATGTCCACCTTCCACGGAAGTCCCACCCCTGCCCATCAGGTTAGATATGGCACCCACTTCTTGCTGCCCGATGGACTCCTCGACCAGCTGCCTGGCCTTGAGTCAGTCGATGGCCTCCTCGTGTGTTTTTTTGCGGTCCAAATGAATGCAAGGTGGAAAAGCGAACTTGCAAGTTTTCCACGTGGGTCAAATATGGTCAAGCGAACTGAACACGACGATGGAATCCAACTTCGAATGACTCCACATGGGACCGGGATACATTGACCCCATGGCATGATGGAATCTACTTCGAATGCCGCCACATTGGCCCCTGAAAGTACCCCAATGGGTGTGAATATGCCATACATGGAGTGTTTGAGGAACAGACAAACACGATCAAACACACAGGTGGTCAGTTGTGCCAAAACCATTTCAGGTTGGCTAGGGATGTGTGGACCCGCTGCCAAGTGACGGCAAGTGGCTAGTTGAGCAGACGGAGACTCTCTTCTTCAGGAGCTTCAACAAAATTCACCAGTATGAATGAGGCTGTGACTTACCAAAGCAACGTCTCCATCAAAGGGTGAGAGGCAAAGCGGCAAGGCGAAGTGGATCCTTTGCAGAAAGATCCTTCAATCCATTCTCCATCATTCTCCATCAAGACATGTGGACTCATGATTATGTTTGAACCCCTTTAAGAGGTTTCACATCCATTTTGTTTGCTTTTGTTCTTTTAACTTAATCAAACGTGTACATGATCAGTATCGGCTGCATTTTTGGTCCTTCTTGCTTTTCCACCCCTCCCCTCCCCAGCAGCTACAGTCCAGCCCCGTCGCCCATGTTCGCTTCCTCGCTCCTCACCTTCCTGCGCTGTCGCCCATGTTGCGACGCTCAGGTGCAACGATTTTCGCTCTGGAGCCAAGCATTTGGGCGACGAGGTGGACTCCATGTCGGGCGGAACGAACAACCGCGCTGTCGCACATGAAACACGCGCTGCGCGTTTTTGAGGGACCGTGGAAGTGAATGTTTGTTGGATGATGCCCACGTATTGCCTGCGCATGCCGTCCGCAATCTGCAGGTGTGCAGCCGGGATGGCACGATGCGTTTCCAGCAGCACAGGGACGGCTTCTTCTACTGGAGGCACATCATGCTCGGGACAACCTTTGGACAGTGTGTGCGCCAAACAAGCGATACCCGCAAGATTGCTGGACATCCTCCACTATTGGCTCCTTTCTTGGCTCCAGATAGCGCAAAACCAGAGGGTCCCTTTTTCCAACGTCTTTCGAGATGACGCAACTTTAGCCATCCTGCTGCATAGATATACTCTCCTTGTTTGCTCCCCGATTTTGGGTTGGTGAACAGACACCCCTCACCTCTCAGCTGTTTTCACCCCCTGTTTCAGGGGGCTCTAGCACCGTTCATCCGATCCTCCGTTCACCTCTCCTTGAAGCGGGTCGCCGTCACGCCACCATGCGCTGGAAGACGACTCGCAGCTACGGAGCGAAGCTCGGGTCGCAGAAGGTCTGTTGTCCCGAAAATCCCTTCCTTGATCTACCTGGACCCGACTTCAACCTCAAAGTACCTTACGTAGAAAATGGCATGACCCCATAAAAAACAGGTACCCAGAACACTCACTGGATGGGACTAAAAGCAATTCCTTTGAAACGGCTTTTTATCCCCTAGTTTGAGTTCACAGAGGTTGCTTTGGAGGTCCTGGCCCCTATCCTTTCTGTCATATTTGCAACACTTTGTTATGGGAAATTCTGACATAGAATCATTTTCATCGACATGGTTGAGGGGGGGGTCTGGGGAGAAAAACGGTAAAGGTCCCCTAGAATAATAGTACTAGAGGTTGAGGTGGGGGGCCGGGTGAGGAATGGTTCTTCTATTGATTCAAGGCTGCATTCAGATGTTCAACCCCTCAGAATAATTGTGTGCAGTACGTGTGAAAGCTCCCCCGGAAAAATTGCTGCAATAATTTGTGCGCATGTATGGATTCTTGATCGTGCTTGATGCATGTGGGCTCACAAACAAACAAAGAATTCAAAGAATGAAGACACATGAACAAGTACATAAAAGCAGCCAAGAACACTCTTGAGATCTCAGAACGTATTTTCAATAAGTTTTTAGGTTTTTGATATTAATGGGTGTGGATTTGTGATCAGATGTAGCACCAGTGGCATGTACATGACATAGCTTGTATAGATGTATGTTTCACTGCAGCCGTTTGTTCAATCCGTTTGTTCGAGTTTGAGCTAAAAGTGTGCCTAAGCTTCAACTACAACCTTTGGGACTGTGACCCTACGTCACTGAGTTTAAGAGCCTAAATTCTCCGTTCATGGTAGCGGAGCCGCGGTTCTAAGACCCGGCTACCGTCTGCGAATCGAAGGTTGCCGAGCCGCATCGGCTCTGGCACCGGAGATCCACAAAACAAGCATCACTTGCAGGAAAGCCGGATTGCTTCAATCCCTGGCTAGCAAGTCAGCATGGCGCAACAGCCAGGAGCACAGGCACCACAAGCCACAGACATGGCACAACAATTTGCACAGATGATGCAAGCCCTAGCACAGGGGCAGAGCCAATTGCAACGAGCAATGGCAGAAGCATACACACAACAAACGGCGATTACAAAGAACATAGCCACCAGCGTAGAAGTAAGAGACAGATCAGAATTGAAAGGCATTCCAAAGCCTGACAAGTTCAGTGGACACACAGGTACCTGGGACTCATGGTACTTCAAGTTCAAGACTTGGATTGAGACAAGTCACAAGAATGCAGGAAAGTGCATTCAGCTCCTCGAAGAGCATCAAGACACAGAGATCAATGAGACATCTCTGGAAGACGATTATCCTGAAGGAGCCGAGCTTGTTTCAGCTCAGGCCCGACAGGCTCTAATCTCACTATGTGAGGGAGAAGCCCTCGAGATTGTCAAGAATACCTCCAGAGGTCAGCACTTTGGCCTAGAGGCTTTGAGACGATTGATCACTAAGTATGATCCACAGAACCCACAAGCAAACTCAGCTTTGCTGAAGAAGGTCCTGCACCCACAACAGTGTGCATTGGACAAGCTCAGAGAGAGCATAGAAGCCTGGGAAAACATCAGGCGAAAGTACGAAGAGCGAAAGAAGAAAGCTCTTGATGATGACATCGCAAGAAGTTGTCTTCAGCAGATGTGTCCAGCCAAACTTCAAGATCACCTTGACCTCCAGAGTTCGAGACTCACTGACTATGCCATCATGAAGTCAGAGATTTTGGCCTATCTCGAGAACATCGAGAGCCGAAAAGAAGCAAAGACTGGATCAGCACCAATGGATGTTGATGCACTAGCCGCAGCTGCCAGCCAGATGCAAGCTTCACTTGCAAGTCTGGCCAAAGCCAAAGGAAAAGGCAAAGGTGGCTCAAAAGGCGGCAAAGGAAAAGGAAAGAGTCAAGATGGAGGCAAGGGAAACGACAAAGGTAAACAGAAGGGAAAAGGTTCTTCATGGTCCAATCCCTCGTCATGGAACAATTCATGGAACAAGAACGATTGGTATAAGAATGATTGGAACAAGAGTAGTTGGTACAACCAAAACTCCAAGGGTAAAGGCAAAGGTGGCAAAGGAAAAGACTCTAAAGGTAAAGGCAAGAGTAAGAGTAAGAAGGTAGCTTCAGTGGAGGAATCTGAAACCTCTATGGCTCAAGAGCATCAACCCGAGCCTGAGTATTCCGCTGATATCGCCACCCTCTTTGCCATCGAGATGGAGAAAGCAGCACCTGCAGCAATTTCTCGTGGAGCAGCCAAGGCAAAAGCCGAGACTGAAGTCAAGGCTATGCCAAAGAAGCCAGGAGCTGGAAAAGGTCGTCCTGGAATTGCAGCTGCTGGGATTGCTGTCATGAACCAAGCAATCCAAGAGACCATGCAGTCAAACCGCGAATTGTATGAGAAGAAGTCTGAGACAATCCAGAAGGCCATTGAAGAGGCTGAAGCTCAAGGCAAAGCAGCCAATGACGCCATCTTGGAGCAACAGGCCGAGATGAAGAGGCTGAAAGAGCAGTATGAAGAAAAGGAGAAAGAAGCCAAGATTTTGCTGAAGAGGCCAACTCCTCGCCGCGCCGCTTCGGTTCCGGCGGAGTCGCCAAGGCTCTCAGCTGATTTGGCATCAGGCATGGACCCAAGATTGGCCAAGAAGAAGGAGAAGAGCCGTCAGCGTGCCGAGCAACATCGCGTTGACAAGGCCCAGGATCGATTTGAATCCTGGCGCGATTATGAGGCCAACTACCCTGAGGAGCTCGACTACTATGAGATCGCTCGTGCCAAGGGTACTGGTCGACTCCAAGCTTGGGATGATGAAGATGATGAGGGGAAGTTTGATGAAGCCCCTCAGCCTCGAGGTCGAGAGAGAGCTCAGAGGCATCGTGGCTACAAGAAGCCAGCAAAGGCAAAGAAGCCTGAAAAGCCAAAAGAGAAGGAGCCCAAGTTCGAAGATCTTTCCACTCAAGAGTTGGCAGAGATGAAGCGGGAAAGCCAGACATGGACGGCTACTAGCCATCCAGCCCGCAGTGTCATCGACAAGGCGCTCACTGCTGCTGGGTTCAACCCAGAAGACTATGTTGTGATGAAGCGCGTCGAAAGCCAAGGTGAAGGAGCAACAAGCGCACCATCCTTCGCAGCTCCAGTCATGGAGAACATCGATCCCCTTGATGTGACTGAGATCGAGGGACTTGAAGAAGAAGAAGAATTTGAAGATGAAGTTGAAGAGGATGAGAATGGCACTGAGCCAGCTGACGATGAGTCAGATGGACAAGAGGAAGAAAAAGAGAAAGACACCGTGCCATGGCTCGATCATATGTTCCAAGAGCGCATCCTCAGCTATGATGAATGGGTAGCCAAATGCACCCACAAGGACAGAGATGGCCGCAAGAACATGGTTTGCCGTGCGTGCAACAAGGTCCTGAGGTGTGACAACGACACCGGCCTATGGAACCATCATATGGCTTTGAATTGCTGCCCACCAAAAGTCCTCAACCAGTGGGCAAAGGAATGGACGATCAAGCAGAAAGAGATGGGAAAGCGCATCAAGACTGCCAAGGGACAGCAAGGCAGCCCAACTTCAAAAGATGCGCCAAAGCATGTGAAAGATGCCAACATGGATCTGAAGCCCGAAGATGTGGCAAAGCATTTGAAGATGAAAGATCCAAAGCTTGAGACCGTCAAGAAAGAACCTCCTTTTTACATGACTGCCCATATGCAGAAGATGATGGAAGAACAGGAGGAGGAAGACGATGTTGGCCCAAAGACGCCAAAGCAAAGGCGCATTGCCAAGACACCTCCACCTCCTGAGAAGAAGGGCAAGACCAAGGAGGAACGCATGGCCTGGTTCAAGAGCACGACTGAAGAGCATATGGAGCGATTCCGTGGACCAGGACCCAAGCAAGAGGAATCCAGCGAAGCGCCAAGGCAGACGCTTCGGCTGAAGTCCCGGTCTCGATCCCCGGGGAAGAGCCGAGCCGCTTCGGCTCCGGCGACATCCGATAAGGGCCATCAGAAGGGCCAGGAGAAGGGCAAGCAGAAGAAAGTGCAGTTGACTCGAGCTGTCAACGTGGCCACTCAGGAAGCTGCCCGCGAGGCCAAGAAGGGAAAGGGAAAGCGATATCCCACACCTTCAAGCGAGCCTGAGGAAGGCGATGAAGATCCACTCGCTCTCAAGAGTTTGGAGCTGGCATCCATGGAGACGCCAATGGATCATCAGGTGACCTTGGATTCAGGAGCCGCGACCTCCTGCATCCCTGTTGAACTGGCCACCGCATTGGGCTACAAGCCTATCCAGTCTGAAGGCACCTCCAAAGTCTACAAGACTGCCTCAGGCGAAGTGGTCAAGGACCTTGGCAAGATCGACGCCAATGTGACCATCGGCATCGGCCAGAACTCCCTCAAGGGACGTTGCTGTTTCCGGGTGATGGCGGTTGCAAAACCGCTGCTCTCCGCGGGGGCCCTTATGAGCAAGGGCTGGTCCATTCAGACGCACGGATCTGGTGGACATATCTCCCGAGACGGGACTAAGATCCCGATCTCGTTCAGCAACGGCGTCTGTTCTGTGCCGATTGCATTCCACCCTTTCGTCCGGCACCGCAATGGGTAAGTCCGGTAGTGGACGAACAGGCCGAAGAGGCCGAGCCAGGCGACGAAGTTCCGCTTGAGCTCAAAATCAATGCTCCCAGTCGCCCGACGCGAAAAGAGTTTGAGGAGCATGCTGTTTCACACTTTCCTTTTAGGTCTTGGTGTGAGGCCTGTGTAAGGGGAAAAGCTAAGGCAAACCCCCACAGGAAGATAGACCACACCGATGAGACAACCCCAGTAATAACTGTAGACTACTGTTTCATGTATTCACGAACTGATGATGTAGTTTTGGACGAGAAGACTCATGCACCAATTCTTGTTGTCAGAGATCGATGGACGAAGCATCTTTTTGCTCATGTGTTGCCCTACAAAGGTGTGACAAAAGGTCCATATGGATCCAAAGTACTTTTGAACGACATCAAGAAACTAGGATACTCCAAACTGATCATTCGACATGATCCTGAACCTGCCCTCACCTCTGTTGTTGAGGCAGTAAAGAATGGGTTTGAAGGAACCCTGATCATCGAGAAGAGCCCGAAAGGAGTCAAAGAGTCCAAGGGAGAGATTGAACGAGCTGTTCAAACCTTGGAAGGACAAGCCAGAACTCTTCGAGCCGCGATCGAGTCGAACTATGGTGAGAAACTTCCTGACGATTCACCTGTTTTGACTTGGTTGGTCGAACACGCATCCACAGTCTACAATCTGTTTTTCCGATCCACCGAACTTCAAGACGGAAAGACTCCGTATTCACGACTTCGTGGACGTGAATGGAAAGTATAGCAATTCCACCATTTGGTGAGGCCATCGAATACCTCAAGAGAGGTCACAAGTTCGAGGCCCAATGGACTAAGGGAATTTTTCTAGGAGTGAAAGACACCACCACAGAGAAGATAGTAGGAAATTCCACAGGCGTTTTTACAGTGCAGTCCATTCGAAGAAAGCCAGAAGAAGATCGATATGATTCAGAGTTGCTGAAATCGATCACTGGGATTCCCTGGGATCCTCAAGCAATTCGCGAAGAACCAGCGATTGCAGCCCCAAGGGAACCAGTCATTGCCAGTCCAAGTGGTGAAGCTTTAGTGCAACCACCGGCAATTGATGACAAGAAAAGAAAGTTGAGAAGACTTTACATCACCAAGAAAGACCTGGAAAAGTTTGGGTACACTGCAGGTTGCCCAGCCTGTGATGCCACACAGATTGGCAAAAGATCTACAGGCATTCACCACACCAACAGGTGTCGAGACAGACTTGAAGAGAGCATCAGAGGAGAAGAAGAAGAGAACCCAAGAGTAGCAAGACATGAAAGCCGAGTTGGAGAGGCAATCACTGGCATGCCACAACCAGTCAGTGGCAAGAGACCTCAAATCCTTCATGGATATGAAAGCAAAAGACCATCGGGAGTCCCCGATTCATGTCGGGTGTTCGCACGACTTGACGTCGAAGCTTATTGTTTTCAAACCACAATGCCAGGAGGACCTGATTGGTCTACCGTCTGGCACCGAGTCACAAGAAACCATGCAAACAATGCAATCATCGAGAGTGGAGTCATGACGACAGACCTTCCACCAGAGATACTCAATGGAGCATTACCACACAAGATGGATATTGTGACAGAACTGTGGTACGAACCAGAAGCAGCACCACCAACACCAGGCACAGCATCAGGTATTCGCAGACCACGCGAACCTGAACCACATGGAGAAAAGAGAGAACACGAAGAACAACATGAACCAGCAGGATCACCCACAGCAAAAGCCAGAGTAGATAGAGACAAGAAGAGAAAGGCAGAAGGCGAACATGAAGATGAAGCCGAGAGAACAAGAGACATCCAGAGCATTGAGATGGCTCTAGAAAGCCTAATCCTAGAAGACAGAGAGAGAGTGCTATCTAGCATCGACCCAGAGAAACCAGTGTGTGAAGAGAAGATCCCACTGCCAGAAGAAATGGCAGAAGAGGCAAAAGACTGGTGGTACTATGACGACATCAGTGGAAAAGAGCTTCTACCTGAGAAGGTAGAGAAAGCCAGAAAAGATGAGATCGACATTGTCGAATCAATGGGAGTTTGGGAGAAGATCCCAAGAAGCAAAGTTCCAAAAGGAACCAAAGTCATTGGAACTCGATGGGTAGATGTGAACAAGCAAGATGAAACCAATCCTCTCTACAGAAGTCGATTGGTAGCGCAAGAGATCAAAAGAGGCTCAGGTTTTGACGAATTTTTCGCAGCCATGCCGAGCCTAGCAGCTTTGAAGCTACTGCTAACCATTGCAGTCAGCGACAGCCTTCCATTGGAGAAAGGCGAGAAGCGAAAGACAAAGCAATCTTTCCTAGGATTTTTGGATGTGAAGAGAGCTCATTTCTACCCCAAAGCAACAAGAGAACTCTATGTTGAAATTCCATCAGAAGGCAAGAGACCTGAGGATGGAGATGTGGTAGGAAGATTGGTCAGAAGCCTATACGGCACCAGAGACGCACCCATGAACTGGGAACTGACCATTGCAGAGTTCATGAAGAAGCTAGGATTTGTTCAAGGCAAGTCCAACCCATGCATCTACTACCATGCATCCAGAGAACTTCGAACAGAAGTGCACGGAGATGATTTCACGACCGTTGGAAGTTTTGATGACATCAAATGGTTTCACACTTCAGCAGCCAAAGAATGGCAAGTTGTGGAACGAGGCATTCTCGGTCCACCAGGTTCACCAAAAGCAAGCCAACAGATCAGAGTGTTGAATCGCATCATCACCTGGTCGAATGAAGGCATTTGGTGGGAACCAGACCCAAGACATGCAGAGTTGATCATCAAATGGCTAGGCGCTGGTCAACCAGGCAAGGTCAAGACACCTTTGGCCAAGCCAAGTCAAGAGGAACTCCAACACGAAGAAGTTCCGCTAAGTGCCGAAGATGCAACGATGTATAGATCTATTGCTATGAGAGCCGCGTATTTGGCACAGGATCGACCTGATCTGCAAACTGCAACGCGCTCGTTGGCACAAGGTCTACAGAATCCAACATCGAGGCACTGGAATATGCTAAAACGATTGGCTCGATATGTCAGGTATCGACCAAGAGTTGCACAGTTGTTTCCAAACCAAAGCACCTGCAACCCCTTCAACATGTGGTCAGACGCCGACCATGCAGGTTGCATAAGGACACGAAAGAGTGTGTCAGGAGGCGTGCTCATGGCCAACAAATGCTGTCTCACTACGTACAGCAAAGGCCAAGGAGTTGTCTCCCTGAGCAGTGGCGAATCCGAGTACTACGGACTTGTTTCAGGAGCATGTCAAATGCTTGGAATCGCATCAACTGCAAGAGACTGGGGATTGTTTCCCAGCAAAGAGGTGACAATGTACGCTTCCGCTGGCATCGCCATGGGAAACCGTCGAGGCTTGGGACGAGCTAAACATGTTGACACTCAGTACCACTGGGTACAAGAGCGCACAGCAAAGAAAGAGTTTCGTCTCAAGAAGGAAGGCACCGACCGAATGTTGGCCGACGTGCTAACGAAAGCTGTCACTGAAGAGAAAATGACTACAGCCATGAAAGGCATGAACTTCCACTACCTGGAAGGTGAGCATGAACTGACTTTGAAAGCTTGAACGGCTTGAGCTAGAGTAGGTACTTCTTCAAGACCAAGATGTACTGAAGGGCTACGAGCTAATTCAGCACTTAATTAGCTAGTGAACAGTGCTAATCCTGACTCGCTTAACTTCTGGGAGATGTTAAACTCGGGAGGCGTGATCAGATGTAGCACCAGTGGCATGTACATGACATAGCTTGTATAGATGTATGTTTCACTGCAGCCGTTTGTTCAATCCGTTTGTTCGAGTTTGAGCTAAAAGTGTGCCTAAGCTTCAACTACAACCTTTGGGACTGTGACCCTACGTCACTGAGTTTAAGAGCCTAAATTCTCCGTTCAATTTGTGTGTGTTTTTTGATAGCCCATGCACTAATTAATTATTCCTTCTCCCCCGTGGGTTGCTGGAATACTTTCTGCGGGATGGAGCGGCGGAGGATGGACCATGGACGATTTTGGGGAATAGCTTTTCATGGTAAATCACATTGCGTGTTCAATTCTAGTTGGGATTTTGGAGCAGAGAACATCCGCCTTGGACAGAATGGAGAAGATGAAGAGTGGAAGAACAATGTTATCTCCAAAGAATGACCAACTGGAGCAGCCATTTATTTTGTTCCATGAACTTTGGAGTTGTCGTGGTTGCTTCTCAGTGCCTCGGATCCTGGAACCAGACATGGTCTTCTGCAAATCTTCCTGGGGATGCTGCCTGCGTGGGCGGAATGCTTCAAGGGAGACTGTATGTGAGATGTCAACAACGCCCGGAATATCTTCTGGCCTTCGGGTCTCCTGGAGGTCGAGTTTGCAGCGGAAAATGTTTTGCATAGGGTATTTGAGAGGTCGCTAACCCTTGAAATATCTTCTGGCCTTGCTGTGCTGGCCCCAGAAAGGTGCAACAAACGTTTACGTTGCTCCATGAACTTTGGGGCAGTCATGGTATCTTGATCTTGCTCGGGTGTTTCAAAATAACAAACGAAATCAACGATGATCAGAGCTGGCTCAAAATCCAAGCTGTGTTGTACATGTTTGCATGCATCAAGGGATTGTTTCATTTTTTTGTTCAACACTCAACCACGCCAGGAGTAATTTTCAAAACTGAGGTGTATGCAGAATAATGAAAGATTGTATTCCAGGGTATAGTCACGTGGTCGCCGAGCTAAGGCATAGGCCATTTTGTTTAGTTATACAATTGTTTCCAATGGTATGATGGTATATGTATGCAAAGATCAATCGACAGACAGGGTGCGGGGGCCCGTCAAAAGTTTCTCGGAATTGTTTCTTGATCGTGTACACGCCTAGGAATGGTACGAAACATACACATGTAACCCTACCAGAATCATTTTTGTTTATTCCTACGGGTGGTCCCCCAGCTATGAGTGGCTTCTCCCCGTCTTCGGACCGCAGGCCAGGTCATGAGACATGGACTGCGCAGCAAGTGGCGCAGGCAAGGTGTCCTTGTATGTTTGGGTGAAAATGGATCGGTATGTGGAGTTCATTGGAACCGATATCTCTCTAGAAGTGTTGATGATGGTGATGATGATGATGTTGATGGTGATGATGTTGATGATGACGATTATGATGCTGCTCCTGCTCCTGCTCCTGCTCCTGCTGCTGATCATTGATTATGATTGATGGTACACAAATCGAGAGAGTTACCGTGACCAGAAAGAGTTATGGTTGTTCCAATATGGTTTTCTTGAGATCCTTTACACATAGTGACTATAGTGGCGGGGACCCGCAAACCATCCAGACTCGTTTCTGGTTGTTTCGGTTTGCAGGTTTTCTGTTTTGAAGAGTCAAGCTGATCAACCGAGACGGCCTAAGAATCCAGCCCTCAACGGGCTCTTGATTCTCTTGAGGGTACAGACCTTTCAGCTCTGGGAATTGGAAAGATGCAAGAATTCTTGCATTTATATATGTTTGTTCAAGGAATCCACGGTTTCAGCATGTTTCAGCAGACTTGTTGTTCACCTTCGAAAGGAGATTTTTGGTCGACTCCAGAAATTGGTCCGACGGAGTCTATGGGAGGGGAAGCTAGCTGGAAGCTGCAACCACTTCGTTCTCCAGCTGACTTACTTGGCTGCCCAGTCTCCGCCGTTGTCTGTCTTTCGTTATGTGCGATGCCTCCCAAAAAGTCCCCACCGCCATGATCTTAATAGACGGTCATCCCAAACAACCACGTTTTACGAAGGATCCAGGATTCGACACTACAATGCCCTGCTCAACCGATGGTGTGCTTTTCTTTCTTTATTGGTCACCACGTGTCGAGTGGGTGAACCATTTGTGGCCCTTCGCCAGCCTTTCCGCCAGCCTTCCAGGAGCCTCGTGTGGGCGACCAACGAGCTCGCTTTGAAGTGACTTGTGCGGGGCCGGCCACGATTCTGGCGCTCCAGGCAGGAAAAACCCTTGGCGAGCCGTTGGGCGAGCCGTTTGGGATCCATTTGGTTGGACGTGTCCTTTTTTGGTGTTAAAGAGGTGCAAAGTCTCAGTAAACGAAGGGTTGTGTAGGGCGTTTGTAGGGCTTGCAAGCTCGTTTTTCGCGCGACCGGAACCCCGAACAAGACCGGATCCCTCTTTCCTGCGTCCACTGAAGATGGGGAGCACCTGACAGGAGGCCTAGGCTTCCAACATCTTTCAAAGCTTTTGAGCTCAAAAGAGCTTGTCCCCACTGAACAACAAGGATTCTACATGACCATATAGATCCATATAATTAGATCCATATAGACCAATCAATAATAGTCTTTAGTTTAAGATATTCTAGGCTGGATGATAAACAACTTATCCCGCAACCCGGCAAAAGCCACAGGAAAGTCAAGACTCGAATCAAATTTTGCCCAAAAACAGAGACCGTCCATGAATGTCCATGACGATCATGAACAAAGCTTGGGGCTGTGGCAAGAAGCAAAGCATTCGACACCTGTACCCTCGATTGACTTTGATTTACTTTGTACTTGGCATCAAGAAAAACTTTTTGTTTGGCAAAATCACATCTGTGTTCTGGCCACTTTTTTTCAACTTGCACCTCGGCTGCCAAGCACATCCAAGCACATCCAAGCACCAGTATCACGGAGCCAACAGGGTTCAGCTTGTTCCACTTTTTTTTGTTCCCCAGATAGCGATAGTTATAGGGGGTTCTTGCTTCTCAATGACTGGGTGCCTGTATTTACTATCTGGGGTCTATGCCGGTGTCATTTGTCCGCCTCATTTTCTGCTGTACGAGAGTGTCCTCCAACAGGGTCACAGACGCGCAGAAAATACCATGCATTTTGCACTGCTTTCATGTAGCTCGGCAGCATCTGACCAAGCTTCCTACAGCACCGTGCCGGTTATAGAAAGGTCCGCTAAGTAGGACTCTTTCTGGGGGGCTCATGTTCCTTCAGTAGATGGTTGCTCCTTCGGTGAAGGGCATTTCCGGCAGATACCTCCAAAAAGGCCGTTTGCCATGCCGGAAAAAACAAAACACTTGAGCTGCACGGGGAGTCAAAACCTGGAGCCCGATTGACCCTGGTAGGTGGACTCTAGAATAAGCTGTTCTGTTTCCGTGGAAAAAAACCATGGACAAACCGTTGAAAGACCCACACACGGACACAGCCACGTGCATCACATGGATGGCGAAGACCGAACGCCCATGGAGGTCGCCACGGACCAGCAGGCTCCCGCCACGCTGCTCCCTTACAGGCAGACTGCTGGGAAAGGTGGGTAGGAAGAAGAAGAGAAGTGAGGTTCACTATTTGCCAAGTGCACTCATGCAAGTGAAAGGACTGGTCGTGGCACTAGTTGTAGTTGATAGTAGTGGAAACTGGTTGCACTCATGTGCACGCGATTCTTTTTGGTGAAAACGGCATTCCAAATGGTGGATTCTGCCCTGATTCTTTGGATTTGGCATGATTCTGCTCCTGGTGATTTCAAGGGTTATAGCAGATCTTGAGCTGGCCATGGTCCACCTGGGTTTCCCCAGTCCCAACCAGAAACAGTTCTGGTTGGCTTTCTTGAGATCCTTTCCCACATAATTACAGTAGTTACTACAGTGGATTGAGAGTAGATGGCACAGACCCAAGAGGTGGTTTATATGGACCCCCATCTAAAGGACATCATGGGGTCTGTGCCATCTACTCTGAAACCAGTGTAATTATAGTGGCTGGGACTGGGGAAACATCTACGGACTGCTGCCAGAAGTTTCATGGAGTTGGGTGCGGACTCCATGGAGGCGGGTGCACATCCACCATCCACATCCACATCCGTAGGACGAAGCACACCACCCTGGCCTCCATGTGACTCCTAGGTGCGCCTTGTTTCTCTTATGACTGGTGACTGGATAAACCCTATAATTTCCCCAGTCCCAGCCACCATAGTCACTGTAAACAACCAGAACTTGATCTGGGTGCTTGGCGCTGGGTAAAGCCCGGGCCTTTCCGGTACATCCGAGTCCGACCGCCCGAGCGCTGCACAAGGCTTGTTCCGCATTTCCCCTTTGGCGAGGACGACAAGCAGCTGAGAGCCGATGAGCTGAAGGATTAGCCTGACCATTTCAGGGGGGGCTGTGAAAAGGATGCGATATACATTGGCATCAAAGACCATGCATGCTCTCCATTTGAAGTCTCCACCTCTACCCTAGAACATGGGACATGACCTACTCTCTTGCCGATGAGAACAGCGGGTTCTTTGAAAACAGACCCAAGATTGAAGGTGTCCGGGATACAATTCTTGTTACGGAACACCCCTGCACCGAAATGGCCACATCTCTTCGCAGCACGTGCTTTCACAGAAGACCTGGGCATCCGTTCGCCCAGACCGCGGTCAGTCAAGCGCTCGCGTCTCCCAGCACCACCGGAGTTCGGAGTTGAGCTCGGGCGGTGTTCTTTGACACCAACAACAACTGCACTTCTTGCTCCTAGGAGCGTCCTTGCTCCTAGTAGTAAGGCCAGGAGGTTGTAGTAGCGTCC